CGTACGCCCCAAAACGACTACTTGCGACCTTGCTTGATGGTTTCACGTATAGCAAAAGGCTATACGTGGACACTTATGCGTCGGACATAAGCATCAAAAAGAGCGAACCAAGAAGCAAGGAAAGAAAAGAACAAAAACGGGGTGAGAGAGAGGAGGAACTGATCCATCTAAAACACCGAGAAGGAGAATAGATCAGTCCTCAAAACTCGTATCGAAAAGACCTAGAAAAAAGAGGGCTCAAGATCTTTCCTAACAAACATGAAGGGTTGCTTTGCGCTGATTTTTCAAACCCCAAAGACGTAGGATTGATCAAATCCACCAAATACTTCTCCAAAATGAAGCTTAAAATCTCCCAAACCCCAAAATTAAGTGAAATTTCATGAATAAGCTTCGAATAGAGGGGCAACACAAGGGATAACATCAAAACCCCTAAAAACAGGCTCCAAAAGCCTTTGAGAGATTAAACTCCATGCTCAACATGTATCTCAAATAGGGAAGCAATGGCAAGGGGTGGAACCGAACCACCATATCAAGCTCCAAAAGGCATAAAACCAAAATTTTTATTCAACTTATGCTTCAAACATAGGAGGGCAGCAACATGCAGCAAAACCAAGCCTCCAACCCAAGAGTTTTCATATTTTGCAAAAAGAACACCCAAATATTTCAGATTTCACAAATAAACCACCCAAGAGTTTTCATATTTTGCAAAAAGAACACCCAAATATTTCAGATTTCACAAATAAACCACCCAAGAGTTTTCATATTTTGCAAAAAGAACACCCAAATATTTCAGATTTCACAAATAAACCACCCAAGAGTTTTCATATTTTGCAAAAAGAACACCCAAATATTTCAGATTTCACAAATAAACCACCCAAGAGTTTTCATATTTTGCAAAAAGAACACCCAAATATTTCAGATTTCACAAATAAACCACCCAAGAGTTTTCATATTTTGCAAAAAGAACACCCAAATATTTCAGATTTCACAAATAAACCACCCAAGAGTTTTCATATTTTGCAAAAAGAACACCCAAATATTTCAGATTTCACAAATAAACCACCCAAGAGTTTTCATATTTTGCAAAAAGAACACCCAAATATTTCAGATTTCACAAATAAACCACCCAAGAGTTTTCATATTTTGCAAAAAGAACACCCAAATATTTCAGATTTCACAAATAAACCACCCAAGAGTTTTCATATTTTGCAAAAAGAACACCCAAATATTTCAGATTTCACAAATAAACCACCCAAGAGTTTTCATATTTTGCAAAAAGAACACCCAAATATTTCAGATTTCACAAATAAACCACCCAAGAGTTTTCATATTTTGCAAAAAGAACACCCAAATATTTCAGATTTCACAAATAAACCACCCAAGAGTTTTCATATTTTGCAAAAAGAACACCCAAATATTTCAGATTTCACAAATAAACCACCCAAGAGTTTTCATATTTTGCAAAAAGAACACCCAAATATTTCAGATTTCACAAATAAACCACCCAAGAGTTTTCATATTTTGCAAAAAGAACACCCAAATATTTCAGATTTCACAAATAAACCACCCAAGAGTTTTCATATTTTGCAAAAAGAACACCCAAATATTTCAGATTTCACAAATAAACCACCCAAGAGTTTTCATATTTTGCAAAAAGAACACCCAAATATTTCAGATTTCACAAATAAACCACCCAAGAGTTTTCATATTTTGCAAAAAGAACACCCAAATATTTCAGATTTCACAAATAAACCACCCAAGAGTTTTCATATTTTGCAAAAAGAACACGCAAATATTTCAGATTTTTGCGAATACATAGCCCAAAAAAAAAACTGAAATGTTTGGGCTATGTATTTGCAAAAAACTGAAATATTTGGGCTATGTATTTGCAAAAAACTGAAATGTTTGGGCTATGTATTTGCAAAATCTGAAATGTTTGGGCTATGTATTTGCAAAATCTGAAATGTTTGGGCTATGTATTTGTATTTGCAAAAATCTGAAATATTTGGGCTATGTATTTGCAAAATCTGAAACATTTGGGCTATGTATTTGCAAAATCTGAAACATTTGGGCTATGTATTTGCAAAATCTGAAACATTTGGGCTATGTATTTGCAAAATCTGAAACATTTGGGCTATGTATTTGCAAAATCTGAAACAATTGGGCTATGTATTTGCAAAATCTGAAACATTTGGGCTTCTTTGCAATTGAGAAGTATGTATGTAAAGAATTGAGTGG